CGGAGTTTTTTTGACAGAAACAAAATGCACAGGTGTGTTGTAGGAGTTCCCACTCAGTTCACAAATTACAGAATGTGATAAAATGGAGGGTGCAAAATATAATAAACTGGAGGAATTTCTGGAGCCTCATTTAAAAAGAAGATCCCGGAGACGGCCTGGTCGAGAGTGGGCCCTAGTGAAATCAGTGTGACTATTACTTCTGAGCAGACTTGCATAGAATTGTACCTGTATTTTTCAGGTGGCCGAGGAAAGGATTTTGAAGGATGGGAGGGATGTGAATACTTTAGAGGCCACCATCCAGCCTCAAAGGCAAACAGAGGAATAGGTGCATTGGTACTCACCTGGGGGCAGAATAATCCAGGGTGCTTCCAAGCCTGTTCTCCCTCAAGAAGAAGATGCTATAAGCCCACACTGGACTGTTTCAAGCAATAAGATGCTACAGTGGTGAGCCTCTGTAAATAGAAAGTTGTAAACAATGGCTATTTTAGTTTAAAGTTTTAGTGCTGGGAGGGAGATAGGCGAAATAAAGAAGGATATAAATATGGTGAAATAAAGAAGTCTATAAATATGCTATCGTAAGACATTGCCAAATAAAGAAGTTCTTTATTTGTTTGGGATTGCCATCCAATTTCTCCTCTTATGCTCCCAACGGAGCCAGTTTTGGACTCTGCCAGACATGCATAAAATAACTCTGCTTGGGAAAATAATATTAATCCTGATAAATCAGAGATGCCAAGTGGTCTTCATGGAACAAAATGGCTTCCACTAGTTGCAGCTGGGTTGCAAGTAGGGATGAGTGAACCTACCAACCTCAGTTTCTAATTTTTCAAGTCCTTAAATTCAGTTCTCCATATTTCAGCATCAGTTTGTGATTATTATTATTTTTCAAAATCCTCACGAACATTTCATCAGCGTTCCTTCGTTAGGGGAGAAGCAAATTTGTCCACAGCTGTCTCCCTTCCTTCTGCAGCAATATTACAGTTGTAACATCCATTATGTGTAGTATGTTGTTGGCTTTGACTTGGGACTCGCAGGTCTGTCCAAGAGGAACGGGTGGCCTTTGAACGTGGGTTCACATTTGGATACTCTCTGCCTTTCCTGAAAATGCTTCCATTTAATTCTGCAGCAGGGACCCAAATTTGGCAAGGGGGTGATTTTATATTGTGCTTGAAATAATAGTTAATTCAACTGTGCTTCCCACACAACCTCTGGGTTAGACGGGGCACACTGGACATGCTGAGCTGTGTACTTTGCTACAAATGCCGCAAAAGATTCTGTTTGTAGCAGGGTCAAAGGGCTTGCCGGGTGGCTAAACGATGGGTGCATTAGCCTAGTAGCAACTTCATGGAGAGTTTCTAGCACCTCAGGAGAGGTTAAAAGGAAAAAGTAATGTCGTCTTCTTTTAACTTTCTTACTCAGGGGTGTGTGTGCGTGTGCATGTAAGGGAGAGAGCGTAAGGTGCAGAGCTTAGCAGATAGAAACGATTAGGCACTGAGGCTGTAATAAGCCAAAAATCCAAAGCACTGGAAGGAAAAACCTCTAATTTCAATTACGATGTGCCCTGTTGCAGCAGGTGGAACTTTGTCAGCATGAAGGCTTGATCAATTAGGCAGCCATCTGGTGTTCGGTTAAATGCTTTTAAATCCCATTGATTTTATTTTTTTAAAAAATGGAATTAAGTACGTTGCGACTGCAGTCTCAGAGCATTTTCACACATGACAGGAAAAAGTGGATTTGATCTGCTCTCATGGTATTTGTGCCACATGAATGTCATTACTGGAGGATGGAATGCCAATGAGGACTTCAGCGTGCACTCAAAGTTCTTGATCAGCAACTAGTTTTAACAGGGGCATGTTTTTATATAACCTCCTGATACAGCAGGGAGAGCTTAACAGCTGCCTTGTATTGAGTTGGACCTTTTGGCCACTCCACTTCTGTATCGTCTATGCCTACCTTTGCCAACCTGGAGTCCTCTGGATGTTTTGGAATACAATTCCCATCAGCCTTAGCCAACACGCACTAGCTGGGGCTGATGGGAGTTGTAGTCCAAAACTATCTGGAGGGCACCAGGTTGGCAAAAGTTGGTCTACACTGATGGGCAGTAGTGCTTCAGAGTCTCCCAGTACTACGCAGAGAAGCTGGAGACTGATCCTGAGACCTGCAAAAGTACAAAACATGTTTTCCAATTGAACTATGTTGCTAGTAGCATAGGAAGCTGCCTTCATGCTGAGTAAGCCCAATAGTCCATACTCACTCAGTGTTGCCTATACCAGGAGTAGCCAAAGTGGTGCCCGCAGGAAGGTTGTTGTACTGAAATGCCCAACATTCCTGACTATTGGCTATGCTGACAGGGACTGATGGGAGTTGGAGTCTAATACCATCTGGAGAGCTTCACATTGGCTGTCTGGTTTACACTGTCTGGCAGAAACTCTCCAGGGTTTCAGACAGGGAAACTTGCCCAGCCCTACCTGGAGATGCTGCAAATTGAACCTAAATCTTCTGCATGCTAAGTAAATGCTCTTCCACTGGGCTGTGGCCTTTCCCCCTAAAATTTGATGGGCGTAAATCTAATCAACGATATATATTTGTGGAAAACTTTTTAGAAACTTTAGTAGAGATGCAAGTCCGTGTGGCAGCTGTTGACAGGCGTGGTGTTATGTCTCTCCCCCCCCCTTTCTTGCTTAATACAACTTTTAAGAGACAAAGAGATGGAAATTGAAAGGAGGGGGCAGTTCCCTTTGATAAATCACCGCAGATTAATTCCTTCTTTCCCTTTACCAAATTTGATAGAATATGTGGCCGGTCCTCTTTTTATAAAGTAATTTCCCCTCCTGTCCGCCTCTTCTTCTTTTTAAACGTATTTTTAAAATCTATTTTGTGTAGAACTTGATAACTTTTAATGAAAAATGTATTATGTATTCTACGAGATAGGTTGATTAGATAAGTGTGGCTGCTCAGGGGGGTGCCTGGACTTCAAGGCGATAACAGACTTCAGTGTATTCTGGAATGGTTATGACATGTAGCATTATTCTGCGTTCCAGGATGTAGTGCTGGCTGTAAAAATTGCTGCAGCAATTCTTGGCGGGGGAGGGGGGGACAATGGAGTGCTACAGGATTCTGTCCTGGGCCCATTGTTGTTCAAGGTCTTTATAAATTACTTGGATGAAGAAACTGAGGGGATGCTCATTCAATTTTCAGATGACACCAAACTGGGAGGGGTTTGCTAATGCCACAGAAGACAGAATCAGAATTCAAAATGCCCTCCTCAGATTGGAGAACTGGGCCCAAGCTAACAGGACTCTTCTGAGAGCCAGTGTGGTGTAGTGGTTCGGAGCGGTGGACTCGTAATCTGGTGAACCGGGTTCGCGTCCCCGCTCCTCCACATGCAGCTGCTGGGTGACCTTGGGCTAGTCACACTTCTCTGAAGTCTCTCAGCCCCACTCACCTCACAGAGTGTTCATTGTGGGGGAGGAAGGGAAAGGAGATTGTGAGCCGCTTTGAGACTCCTTAGGGTAGTGATAAAGCGGGATATCAAATCCAAACTCTTCTTCTTCTTCTGTAATGATGGGGTCTGGTGGACTCAAAGTGGTAATGTGTTCCAGAGATGCAGGGTTCAAGCCCCTGGTCTTCTAGAGAATTCACCAAGAACTTGCTGACTTGCATTTCTCAAAACATTAAGCAGTGTCATGCCTCTCATGTCTTTTTATATACTTTCAGAATGTGTGTGTGTGTGTGTGTGTGTGTGTGTGTAAGTGGGGGGGGGAGAGAGACTTTTGCCCCCTTTGCTTTCTGAACACCCGTCACTAACCAAGTTCCTCTGATTTCCCCCCCTCCAGAGTTCTTCTATAATTCATTATTACAAATGGCTGCTTATATCAAATCTAAATGCACCCGGAAGTCAATTTTCTTTTGGAAAATCTCACAAAAGAGATTTCAAGTGCACAAAGAACGGAGCTCTTAGCTGAACAATGAGCGGTCGTGTACCTTACAGATCTCTTTCTCATGAATAAAGCAGCAGGTGGTTATGAAACTTGCATGCCTCGGTAGGGTCCTTGGGAAAATGGATAATGGTGTCGGAATTGATGGGGGGGGGAGGAACCTAAATGTGTGCTGCATGTACTGAGAAACAGAGTCTTGAAGAGAAGCGTAATGTGTGACTGAAGTTTGCTGGTCACTGAGAGTGTGGGGTTTTCTGCCTCAGGGCCCCTGGTTAAAGCTTGAGATGGGACTGTGAAGTATCTGAGACAACCCCACCCACCAGTTCCCTGCAAAAATATGAATACCTGAGGACATCAGTGAGGTGTCTGGTGAAGAAGTCTATATACAATTGGCTTGAATGCTTTATTTCTTTTTAAGGGACAAGATTATGATAAGAGGAGTGGGGCAATGGAATGCAGTGAGGGACATTGCAACACACTGTTGTAACGCTTTGTTTCCTAAGTTGGTCTATGGGCCACCATTGGTCCATGAGCTTCATGCAAGTGGTCAGCAATGTGTTTGTGAAGAATGACAGGCAAAGCAGTTGCTCCATCCTTTTGCCTTTTGCTGAAGATGCACCTCTTTAACCTGGCCTTTTGACACCTTTAATGCATGTTTTTAGGACTCAGAACTGTTCATTTGATTTTAAATTGTTTTAACTGGTGTCAATACTGTATTTGACATTGCTGTAACCTGTGACCTTAAAGTGAAGGGCAGGTAAGAAATCCAAGTAATAATAAAAGAAGCAGAAGGAAAAATTGAGATGCCCTTGCAATTTCTGGAAAATCACAGAATCACAGAAGTGTAGTGCTGGAAGAGACCGTGAGGCTCAGCTAGTCCAGCCAACTCCCTGCAATGTAGTCATTTATTTTTATTTTATTTATATCCCACTTATTCTTCCAAGGAGCTCAAGGGGAGCATACGTGGTTCTCCCCCATCTCCATTTTATCCCAACAACCCCACTGTAAGGTAGGTTCACCTGCGAGGCAGTGACTGGCCCAAGGCCACTCAGTGAGCCTCATGGTCAAGTGGGGATTTGAACCCCCATCTTCCAGGCCTTAGTCTGACACTCTAACCACTATGCCACACTGACGAGTTCCGACTAGTCTTGCCTGTGCTTCCACCCTTATGTACAAACGGTGAGAGGGGCAAAGAACAAGGAAGCTTATCAGTGACAAATCCTTAGGATATCAGAGAAGCTTGGGGTTGTGTTGATTTCCTATATCTCACCATGGTTGCTGTTCAAACATCTTTTTACAAGTTTTGTTTTTATTCACTCAGCAAACTTCCATCCCACCTTCAGGGAAGCTCACAAAAAAAAAGAAAAGAAATAATAATAATACAATACAATATAACACAATAAAAGTGTCAGGATAAAACAGGCTTTCATAGTCTTTAGAGTGGTAATTTGGAAGAGCCAAAGCAAACACCTCCATACACGAACAGTACTGCTGCAAAGAGATATGAACTCCTCAAGTTGTGGTTGCCTATTGGATTAATATACTATCCAATTCTACCTGGCTCAGCAGTCTCAAGGCAGTGATGCCAGGTGATTATTAGTCTAGCCTAATGGGTTTTCCCTGCATGGTCTCACAAGGTAGTTTCTCATTCTTCCTTTGCACATTTTTAAATCATCATCATCATGAAAGTTCATCAGTATTTTATAGAATCCATTTCTCTGGATGTACACATTTTTGCAGACTGCTTTGCACATCAATGACACATTTTCCAATGTTGATTTCACCAAAATATGCATTTTTTTGCGAACTTCTACTGATATAAGCATTTTTGTAGAAGAATGCTTAAGGGTTTTCTGGTTGGAGAACTGCGTCAGAAAATCGGGGGAAGTGCAATTTTTAAAAGCTGCATTTCAATTCCTATATACTTTCAAGAAGTATGGCAGAGGTAAGTTCAGTGCCTTTTTCCCCAGAAATAATAATACAATAGTACTCACCAGCAATAGTACTCACCAGCAGCTCCCACCCCATCCTACCCATCATGAGCTCTGCCAGCAAGGTGACCAGAATGCACAAGGCCAGAAGAGCACAGTGCATGGCAGAGGGAGTGTGCCATACACCACACTGTCCACTCTCACACTCCTTGGGGAGCAGGACTTGTGGGCTCTGGCCAGCCCCAAGGGGACAGCGGCAACAGGGCTCTGGAGGGGCTTTGCTCATGCAGTTGAGCGTCTCAGGGTGGGGGAAGAGTACTGCCAGAAAAATCACACTGAGTATGTTCTCTTTAAAATGAAAAACTCCCCTCTTTATCCCTACAGGGAAAGTCCCTTTTCTGTAGTTGTTTTCTGTTTGCTATCTCCATGATTCTCACAGACGTTGGAATGCAGTATCATTTTATGCTGTTGAAAACCAACTCGGTTTGTTTTTTTAAAAATAGTATTGTGAAATTGGCCCAAAATTCAGTTACTGAAAAGCGACTGCCAAAAGGTCTAGATAAAGGTTAACAATTTAGGCTGGATCCTGATAAAACAGAGGAAGTGGTGATTTGGAGTTGGGCCCAAGCAAGCAAAGAAGTATCTCCTGGCCAAAATGAGATAGTGCTTCCCCCAGGTTAGTGTGTTTGCAATCTGATAGTGCTCTTTTGCTTTTGGGGGGTGGGGGGCAGTTACACCTGACATGATGGCTGGCACTCTTCTTTGCCACCCTGATCCAGGCCTTCATTGACTTGAGTATTGCAATATGTTTTATGAAAAATATCGTTTGAGAACTGCCAAAATCAACTAGTATAAAATGTCAGTGTTTAGCTTCTGATAGGAGGTTAGCTTGACAACAATTGGCAACAGAGGGCACACAACTCCATTACTTGGCAACAGCCTTCTCTTAGCTTCTGGGGACAGTTCAAGGCGCCAGTAATTATTATCTGTAAGGTCCTTCCAGCCTATCATTATTTTGAGGTGGGACTCAATCACATGCTGGCAAAATGCAGGCTACGCAATTAAAGTTGATTTGGCACCCTTGTGAGGTGGAAAAAGGAAAGGGTTGCCATGTCCTCCCCTCACCCTCATATTCAGCCGAGGAGCTTTTCAAGTAGCTGCCTGCTCTATCAGGCAGCAAAATAAACACAGCAGCAAAGAGACAATTCCCATATTTCTTCCTCCTCTACCACCCTCTTTTTCAAAAAGTCCCTCAAGTCACTGCCTGCCACATGGCAGGCAGGCAGCAAAATGAGTGATAGGCGAATCCTAAACTTTCCTCCTCCAACACACACATTTTTAGTAGCTGCCTGCTGTTGCGCCATGTGACCGGCAGGCAGCAAAACAAAACAGATAGAGCAGCAAACAGATGGATCCTGTGCTTCCTCCTCCACCAATCCATACACACACAAACACCAAAGAAACAAACAACCCTCTGTGGCCAGAGCAGTTGCCTGCCTCGTGCTCCACAAGGCCAGCAGGCAACGAGGAGGCAAATAGGCCCCACACTACTTCTACTCTCCTTTTTCAAAGAAAAGCCCCTCTTTTCTAATGTCCCCACTTTTAAGAAGCCCTTCCATGGGCAGCCAAAGCAGGAGGAGCTTTCCCCACCCCCCAACTTTCTCCCAATCCCAAAGGGATGGCAACCTCTCCTTGCTTCTTGTAACCAAATTACGCTGATAATCAGTCTACTTTTTTTTTTAGTTCTCATGTATGTGTGTGCACATGCACATTTTCACAAACCAAGCATACATTTTTACTCCTCAGTAGTAGATGTTGCCAATTCTTTTGAGAAAGGTGTGTGTGTGTGTGTGTGCGTGCACACACACACACACACACACACACCATTTCCAAAACCTGCATCCTTCTCTTCAATTTTCATACCTGGTTATATCAAGCAGAAGGGAATAGTTGAGAGAATTATCAGTCACAATTTTTCTCCCCTCCTCACACAAAATGTAAATTACTAGTTACAACTCTTCTGTCTCACCCTGTCCCCCTCCAGTAAAAGAAACCTCTGGAAATGGCTATTCATTTTGTCCTAAGCAATTGTAGCTTCTGGAGGCTTTTCTTTGAGGAAGGGGGCGGGGGGAATTCTCTTTCAAAACACCAATTGAATCTGGACAGCTTCCAGTGGGAGAATTGAACTGATAAACACCTGCCTGAGCTTTGAGTGTGAAGGCACTTTCTGAATATAATTGTATATATAAGATTTGTGTACAGTGCCTCTTTGGAGATGGCAATAGCCCAGTGACACTTTTAATTCTCCCGACATTCCGCTAGGGATAAAAATACTCACTTCCCCTCCTAATTTCTTTCAACAAGTTTTCTGATGTCAAGAGCAAAGAATTGGGGAAACATGATGAAACTGCCCTAGAATAGCTTTGTGATTAAATTCCATATGAAACTTCAGGTAGAATCTAGCATACTCTGTTGGAACAATCAATATACTTTTAAGGTCTCTCTTTTAGTGGTGCTGCAAAACCATCAGTGTGACAGTGATTTTTCTCAAGGATAGAAAAGCGGGTTGCTTCTAGCAACACTAGGAAGCCATACAGAATTATTAATCTGCTGAGAAGAATTGTTTTTGGAAACTGATAAAAGCAAATAAATGAATTTGGACTGAAACACAGGGGATGTTTTAATGTGGATGCTCTGGAAGGCATGCCATCCTATATATTCCTCATCTTTACTTAGCATAGGAAGCAAGCCAAGAATACCATTGGACTGCTACTTTGCTTCCTGGTATGTGTCTGCGAAACGAGGTGAGCTCCCATTGCTCTATCCCAGCTTCAGCCAACTATGCTGTTCAGAAAGCATACTAGCGCAAGTAAATAAATAGGTACCACTGCGGTGGGAAGGTAAACAGCCTTTCCATGTGCTCTGGCACTCATCACAGAAGTGGTTTAGTCATGCTGGCCACATGACCTGGAAAGCTGTCTGTGGACAAATGCCGGCTCTCTTGGCCTGAAAAGCAAGATGAGCACCGCATCCCATAGTCACCTTTGACTGGACTTAACTGTTCAGGGGTCCTTTAGCTTACCTTTACCTTTTATGTCCAGGAAATATTATAACTCCTCCCCTGTATTCTTCCCACTCTTGAATTCTGCACATCTGTGCAGGTTTTACTATCCTGCCCATTTCCAGGAGTGGTGCAAAAAAGATCAGGGCTCCTAGCTACCAGCTAGCTTCAACCAGAAATACAAAAGCAATGGCATTGCAATGCTCATGGCGATTTATCACTGGCTTGAGATAAATGTTATGTCTAAAATATGTGGTGGTGGTAAATTATCAAAGGAAAATTCAAGCCAAGCGTTAGGAGGCAAGCTTTGTGTAGTAACATCCTCAGTGGTTTTGCAGGCATCTCCATTGTTTTGTACTGATTTTAATGGGCTTTAAATGTTGTTATATTGCTGTGCTCTGTCGCTGCCCATATATTTTATGAGTGGGTGGTGCATATAAATACTTTTGTAAATACAAATAAATAAAATCCCCAACAACATTTGATGAGCCGATGGCAGATCCGTGTATTTAAACACTGTGGCAACCCAATTGTCTAGAAAGAGAAAGAACAGCAGTTCATTACTGACAGTGAAAATGGCACCGGAGCGCAGTCTGTCCTCTCTTCTGCCTGTCCCTCACCCACACATTGTGAGGGTGTGTTTGACCCAGGTGAGCAGTGCTTGGCAAGAGGGCCTGCAGGAAGTTAGCGGTGGGTATCAGGGGGCAGACGGGGAGTTCCATACTTCGCATTTGCAGATCTTTCTTGCTGTTTGGCTTCCTATTGTGTTAAAGATATAATAGTACTGACAGTGGGGAAAGGAATATGATCAATTGTGTTAAGTTGTATGGGGCTTCCAAGAGACACTTTAGTGTTTTCATGAAGTAAACCCCCTGTGTATTCATATTATGGAGAACTTTGCTTGGAAGGGTGGCGCACAAATGTAGTTTTGAAAATGTTGTGAATCCAATACAGGAGCAGTCCTTGGGGTGCCTTCCAGATGCTGTTGGACTTCAACCCCCATCAGCCCTAGACAGCATGGCCATTAGTCAGAGATGATGGGACTTGTAGTCCGACAATATCTGGAGGGCACTATGTGATTCTGAACTGGTGAAGGTATTGTTTTTCCTGTTGAATGTCAGCAACAGCAGCCGCTTTATCTGGCTGCCTGTTGGAAATGGAACAAATTTCTTCTTAATAGGCTAAAGTCCTGACAGTGGTTGCTGTTAGCATTTGGAGTTACTTGCACAAGATAGCTTTCTTAATGTTCATCCGCTCTGACAAACCTTTTTTTAAAAAAATAAAGAAAATCTGAGCTTGTGGATTAATAAGACTTTCATGTTACAACTTCAGTCTTCAGTATGGCTCAGATCATGTTCCCTTCCTAACAGTCTTTCTATTTAAGAAAAGAGGTATGTATTTTATTTTTTATTTTTTTGCAATAAGAATATTGCGCTAAATATACATTCCCATGAAGCAGTCTTGTCTCATGGCCTTGGTGTTTTGTTTTTTTCAAACTGCAGCACGTAATTATTCTGAAAGAAGCATTTTGTAAACAACCTTATTTTATGTGTGTATGTTTTAAGGAGAAACATTTTTACCTCTGCTTTTTCCCTCTCTCCACCTGGATTAATGGATTTACCTGTCTATCTTGCACTGGACTCTACAATAAATCCAGGTTTCGTGGGGTATGGTTTTTTTTAATAAAAAAGCCTAGCTAACTGCAGCTCTTTAATGGGAACTTTAGAAGTGACATTTTAATAGTCAGATAAGGAAATGCCAAGTTAGTGTCATCCCTAAATGAGCTTACTCCTTCTCAATTGTTGGTCTGATAAGTAAGCGTGACAGGAGGTTTCTTTCCCCAAAGGCTTAACAGTAAGAATGTTAGGTGGTTCATTTTTCAGCCCTTTCCTGTATTGTGTTAGGAAGCCACTTCCTCCAAGGCATATTCTCAGAGGACAGCTCTTTTGCTTTCAGCAGATTTTTTTCCTTTGCTACATTTCTCAACAGATCTATTTGCATGGGGCTTGGTCCACTGGATAGCGTGGGGCTTCTTGTTGTTGTTGTTGTTGTTGTTGTTGTTGATGTTTCGTTGCTGTTGTCTCGTTGTTGTAGTTGTTGCTATTTTATTTATACCCCACCAATCTGAGCGGCTTCCAACACACGCAAAAATAATAATAAAACATCAAACGTTAATAATAACAATCAGATCCTTTATAAAAAGTCACAGTAACTTTAAATTAAACAACTTATACCAAATAAAATTAAAAGCCCCCTTGCTGCTGCTGCTGAGGAAGCAAGGGGAGAGGCAATTGGGAAGGAAGGTGGTCATTTTTTATTATATCTAGGACATTGCTGACAAGGATGTAGCCAGTGTCCACAGAAGTAAGTCTGATCTATGTCTGACTTTAGATATTTCTAGATTTGTCTGGCAGGGCAAGAAGCCCAGAATAAAATTTAAGATATTAACTGATGCAAAGGAAAGAGGTGGATTTGCCCTGCCAGACTTTAAACTTTATTATGAATCAGCAGCTTTTTGCTGGTTGAAAGAATGGCTACTTCTTGAAAATACAGACATTTTGGATTTAGAAGGTTTTAACAACGTATTTGGATGGCATGCATATTTATGGTATGATAAGGTCAAAGCACATAAAGCATTTAAAAATCATATTGTCAGGAAAGCACTGTTTAATGTTTGGATAAGATACAAGGATTTATTGGAAAATAAAACCCCAAGGTGGTTGTCACCGATGGAAGCGAAAGCTCTGAAAAGGCTCAATATGGAGGCCAAATGGCCAAAATATTGGGAAATTTTGGAACAAGAAGGAGACAAATTGAAATTGCAGAGTTTCGAGAAACTAAAAAACAAAGTGAGAGATTGGCTTCATTATTATCAGATAATGGAGGCATATAATTTGGATAAGAAAATTGGCTTCCAGGTGGAAAAATCAAAACTAGAAACAGAACTGTTAGAACCCAAAACTAAGAATTTGTCAAGAATGTATAACTTGCTGTTGAAATGGAATACTCAGGATGAAACGGTGAAATCTGCTATGATTAAATGGGCACAAGATGTTGGACATAATATTATGTTTGCTGACTGGGAACCATTATGGACCACAGGTATGAAATTTACGGCATGTAATGCCCTAAGAGAAAACTTAATGAAAATGATTTATAGCCTTAACCACTCATAACCTGAGAGACACTTGCAACTCCTTGCAAAAAGCCTCCTTTGCAACCAACCAAGTGTTGCTGCTTGCTGCTGGGCTCCTCCCTAGCAGCCACCCACAATAATAAAAAAAATGTCATTGGGATGGAGAGAAATGCCCAGAGCGAAGGGATAAAGTTAACTCTGTCCTACAACTTTAGAAGCTGCGTTGATTTGTAATAAATTCTTTGTTAGGAAGATGTCAGAGCAGCAGGCTGCCCTTTTTATCACACAGTGCAAAAGATGTCAGGTTTACAAAAGGCAGGGAGACTGCTTAATTTGACTCATTACAGAATCAAAGACTTATCTGGTTTGCCAATTGCAGCTGGCACACTCACCACAAGGGTCTGTCTTTCAAATGGACTTTGAGAGCAGGATCTGCTCAATGAGGGAAATGAATTGTTATGTGCTTTGGCATTTTTTTCTCTCTCATTGGTCTTTCCTAAATGGTCTCTTGCTGGCTGAGTGATTTGTCCGCTGATTTAACGGCTGTGAGTAAAATTGTTCTTGCTGCCATAAAAAAGGCTAAAGAGACGTGGTGCAACTCTTGTTTGCCGCTGACCATTTATATAGCCCTCCATTTGTTCTGACAACAACCTACTGAAGTGTAGGTCACTGTTCCCCCCTTTTTTAACCTTGTAAGAACTGAGAAAACTTTCCTGAAGCATTCAGATTTTGGTACATGATAAAAAAGGAGCACTTGAATGCAGGCCTTAAGACCCCTGGATTCAGTTTTATAACTGCTGGAAGGTTCGGCTGCCCCAGGTCCATTTCATTGGCTCAGACAATGAACAGATTAATTTTGGTTTATGACAGATGGTGCCCAGAAGTTGCTTTGTTCTGAGTCTTTGTCTTTCCCTGGCCTAGTTCTGGCTGAGGTGGAAACCCTATTTGTTTTATTTCTTTATTTAAGGATTTATAAGCATAGATAGAGTCAGAGTGTATACATAACAATCTAAATAAAAGGTAAAGGACCCCTGACAGTTAAGTCCAGCCGCAGATGACTCTGGGGTTGCGGCGCTCATCTCGCTTTACAGGCCGAGGGATCCGGCGTTTGTCTGCAGGCAGTTTTTCCGGGTCATGTGGCCAGCATGACATAGCCGCTTCTGGCACAACGGAACACTGAAACCAGAGCAGCGCACGGAAACACTGTTTACCTTCCTGCTGCAGCGGTACCTATTTATCTACTTGCACTGGTGTGCTTTTGACCTGCTAGGTTGGCAGAAGCTGGGACTGAGCAACGGGAGCTCACCCTGTCGCAGGGTTTCAAACCGCTGACCTTCTGATTGGCAAGCCCAAGAGGCTCAGTGGTTTAGATCACAGTGTCACCTGCGTCCCTAACAATCTAAATAGTAGATCCCCAAAGCTTCAAATTATCTATAATATATGTAGTATAAAATGGCTGATAGCTCTCTTCAACATTTAAATTTCCAATAGCTAACTAAAAGCAAAAACGCTAGGGAAGGTGTTCAACATCGCTCTTTTCTTGTCATTCCATCAGCGGAAGCATGTCAGCTTGCCCGACAGAACAATCCTCCCTCTTCTTCCCCTGGAGGCTGTTCTGAGGGTTCCCTTCACCCGTTGGAGCCCATTTCTGTAGGCACAAGGGGCAGAGGAGAGGGGGGAATGACCCGTTATGTCCTTGCACAGGGCTTCCACTGACATTAGTTGAATCCCAAGCTAGGCATTCATCCAAGTTTGACCGGTAGTCGATTTCACAGAGCAAAATCAAAGGTCTGGTTTCTAGTATGGCAGGAGTACCTATGGGGAATACTCTTTTTAAAAATTATTTTTATTGATTTTCCAAATTATTACAAATCAAACCAAATTGCTTAAATTTAATACAATTTCTTAAAATCAGGTTCCCCGCTCTCGTTGCAATCATATGTCAAAGATTTTCTCCCATAGCTCTGGGGAATAATCTTAACCATGGCCCATCAGAGGATCACTGTTCCCAGCTGGGATATGTGGGGCAAGATGGTCCTTCAGGTAAAGTTATGACTGGGCTACACCCATTCAGATGATTGAATGGGGGAGGGGTTCCCTTGACCGCATGGTCCTCCAACCAACTGGGAGGAAGGGTTGATGGGAAAGCATCTGTGTGTGAGGTAAAAATAGAATAATTTCTGGAAGAAAGAGGGGGAGACTTGGAAGGAAGCAGAGCATGAGTGCTAGAAGGCACCTTTGTGGGTTCAAGTAATTCTTTTTCCGAGGTGTTGAAGAGGGCCATCTGTTTTGCTGCTTGTAGGAGTGCTAAGCCACTTATTGCCTCCTGTGTTCTGCTTGTGTATATTTCTAAATGAATGAAATAATACAAAAACAAGTATCCAGTCGTCTCTCCCCCCCTTGAACTTCTTACCACTCAGGGAAGTGGAGGTAAGGCTTGCTCCTCACTTAACAGTGAGAAAAGAGACTGGATTTTTAGCAACTTGAGGACTGTCAAGGAAAGTATAGAAGTGTGAATGTGCTGCTACTACAAAGGACAGAGTACAATGGAATTGTAGGATTTATGCTGCCTTCTGTTTTCCTCCTTTAAAAAAATATATTAAAACATTAAAATGCAAAAACACTTTTGGTACTGCCAGTTTCTTAAACACTTACCTGAATAGTGCAACTGCTCCTCTCTTTTTGAGATTCTTCTGTATGCCCTGTGTTACTAAGTCAGGTTCCACATGAATTTTTACAGATTGGGGAGGGGTTTTTTTTGCCAGTGTTTTAACATCAAACTTGCAATTGGATTTCTTGATGTTGCTTATGGCTTCACTCAATGTGGATGCAAAACTTCAGGAGCTTGTCAAATGGAACAAATAAGACCATTTATTGCACAGGGTAGGAATGTTGCTGCTATCTACACAAAGCTGTTATTCTTCCAAACACTTAGCTCTGCATAAGTAGACTGTAAAGCTATTGAAAAATATTCAGATGATTGGCACCTGAGGATGTAGTTGTGGGACAAGAATGCTTTAACAATGGGCAGCTCTTCAGTATGATGAGCATGTCTGCCTCCTGGGTGGATCTTCCTTCCTGAAAGCCAGTTCTGACAATACAGCTGATTTATTCTGTTACCATTTATTTATACACCACCTTTTGGCCCAGAGGCCCTCTAAGTGGAGAACAGTATCATAATACAAAAGAAACATACAATAAAAAAATACAATAAACACAATAAATCCATCAAAACGATATAAAAATCGCAAAATACCTCTCAATCGTGCTGAATATGTGTTGGAACACTCCTTAACCCCCTCAAGCAAGGGAACAGGAAACCTATGGATCATGATACCCCTATCTCTCACCTAGGGTGTTCACACTCCCCTCTCATCGCTCTCTTCGAAGTGGGGCAGGTTCTACTCTGGGGCAGGAACTGCTCTCTCCCACTGCTGCCAACACGCTAGCATTATAATAGCCAAAGCCTGAAGGAAAAAATAATTCTTACAAACCCTCATGTTCACAAAAACACTTACTTCCTGTCCTCCTCACCAGCAAAACCCCCAAACTGCTTAGGTATGCATTCTATTCACACACTGTGATTCTTTACATCGAAGATGAGCTGCTATCCCATGTGAGTTTGTGCCTCCAACATTAATTACGGTTGTATAAACATATTGTGTACGGAAGTCAAGCAACTGAGTCTGGACTGAATTGGGCAAGGTGTTCCATGTGGAACACAGGAGGGGGGGCACCTTTCATGGGCTGGAAATCACTGAAATGCCTGATGGTATACTTGTTAAAAATGCCCTGTTCCTTGTGGCTGGTTATCTCAAACAACCAGGCCGGCTCTACCATTAGGTAGAGCAAGGCTCCAGTGATGTGATACTAAGAAGCAGAGCTGCCCTGCATCCCTTCAGCTAGCTTGTCACCCTTCAGATGCAGTGGAGGAAGCTACCCTATTGAAGTAAAATTCAATTGCCATAGAACCAGGGAGGAAAGTTGCCCTCATGCTGTTCACCACAGGTCTTGGGCTGTTCCTGCAAGCAACCACAGTTCTCAGAGAGGTTCATACTGGAGAAGACACTCTGTTGTCTCCCCATGCAACTCTGTTCCTCATCAGTTACCATTTCTAGAGCTCACCTGCCCTTTAAACAAAAGTTTCAAACCTGTGGATGTCATAGTTTCCCAGCCAAGAAACTAAGGGCATTGTTGCTCTGTTGGCATCAGGGAATTTCTTGATAGCCTGCACAAGAATAGTAGCCATATAGGCATATTGGAAGCTGCCCATCTAGATCAGCGTTGTCTGCAGCAGCTGACTCTCCTGGGTTTATGGGGAGGGATATTTCCTGGGCCGTCTGGAGATGCTGGGGATTGAACTCAGGATCTTCTGCATTCAAAGCAAATGTGCTACCTACCACTGAGCCACAGCTCTTCCCCTGCAGAGATAATATATATCTACGTAGCACATAGTATCTTTTTGTGCAGGGTGTCTGATGTGAACGCTCCTTTCTGCACATCTCATGATATGCTGAAGTTATAACCATCAGAAAAAGAACTTTCCAGTGGTAGACATGAGCGCACATGTCCTAATACACAGTGCACTTTTAGTTGGAGGTTAAAATTTGGAGAGGTGTCAGATCTTTTTTTTATCTCACACTTTCTTTTTCTGGAGGGAAAGCTCTTAAGAGCCTATTGTTCCCATGAAGCTCCTAAGATGACATGCTAAGAATAAGGACAGGATATTAACACACAATATAAGAGACTTAATTGAAGATGGAGTAGAGAAGGGAGGAGGGAAATCTATCTAATAAAGTAAACCTGATTGACAAAGCAGGAAGCCAGCCAGATATGAACAAAAGGCACACAGCAGGGAAATGAATGCAAGCAAATGCCAATTCACACTTCAGCAGGCACCTTCCTTGACTGCTCAAACATTTTCAGTCAGATAATGAGCAAAAACAAACACTTTAGCATCCTCCCCTCTGCTGGGGAGAAGAGCTCAAAAGGGATGGAGGGGAGAGAGGGAAAGTCTTAGTGCTAATTGTTTGCCATCTGAACTGTCAGTGAAATGCCAGAGGTTTTTGTTGACTGGCACCTTTGTTGAATGATGGCTAATTGTGAATGGTGAAAGCGAATTTATTATTGCTGGCTCAGGCCATTTAGCTGTTTTGCAAAAGGCTCTTGATGATGATGAGCTGGTTTACCTTGGGCCACACTCTTGAAATGCTAGCTTAGCTGTCAAGCTTGTTTGTTTCTCTGCACCATTTGCACTTCTGGGGCAGGGTGTTACTGATGCTGAGGGTGTTACATCAGAAGTTGCTTTGGGGTTACCAAAAGGAAATCTCAACACTCTCTCTTGGTGTTCGGGAAGGGATTGCTGAGGTGTCTGTAATGAGAAGCAGATGGCTGATGGCATGTCTGGGGCATCCATGTAATTGTGAAGTCTGCTTCCGTGGCTCCCTAGTGCAGTCAGTCTCTGCTTCTGGACTAGGAACTCGCAGTGGCAAAATTGTGTCCCTGCCTGTCCCACACAAATGCTTTAGGTCATTTCTCACAACAACAACAAAATCCCCCTTATATTGCCACATGCCACCCTAAGCTCGCTATGGCACCCCTAAAGATGCTACGTCAATTTTTAGTTTTTATTTTATCTTGGAACTGCTAAGGCAGCACTCTGGCAAGTATCCAAGGCATGGTTTGAAATAGGGATGCGGGAGAAATTTGATTCAATTCACATTTAAAAGCTAACTTACCTAATTGGTACTTTTCCAAACAACTTGTGAACTGAAACACAGCCATCCTTCGAAATCTGCACTTTTTAAATATTTTGTAATGCTGTTCTCCAGCCAAGATATGTATACAAAAATGCATTATCTTAGGTTTAAATGTGCATGAAAAGAAAGATAGTAGTGAAAATAAAATGCATTCTATTAGGGGGAATGGTTTTGCAAACAGTGTGTGTACATTTGGCAAAATAGTGTACAAAATGTGTATATCAAGGTAAATTTGCTGATGAATCTTCATGGACTTGTAGCGTTGGAAGGGACCACAAGGGTCATCTAGTCCAAATCCCTGCAGTGCAGATATCTTCCACCCAACATTAAGAGTCTCATGCTCTACAAATTTTTTTTTTTTTTTTTTTAAGCAATTTATTGGGTTTTACAATAAAAATAAACATAATAAACAATATAACATTTGTCTTAACATAGTTTCACATTTTCTTTGGACTTCCTCACATCCCCCGCTCCCACTTTCATCGTTATAACATTTTGTCAGCAATTTATCATCTTATTTAAATTCTTATATCTCTTCAATGTTTCATAATCTTATAGTTCTCATAAAGAGTTAAACTTTCACAGTCTTACTTGTTTTCTTAAAAACTTCTAAGTTAAGTGGTGCTCAGTTATTTAGTCTAGCATCTTATTTAGCATTCACTCAAATCACAATATTTTTGTAGATAGTTCTTAAATTTCTTCCAATCCTCCTCGATTCTCTCTTCTCCCAGGTCACGGATTCTGCCAGTCATTTCAGCCAGTTCCATGTAGTCTATCAGTTGCATCTGCCATTCTTCCAGTGTGGGTAAATCTTGAGTTTTCCAATGTTTTGCAAGAAGTATCCTTGCTGCTGTTGTTGCATACATAAAAATGTCTGGTCCTTCTTTGCCACCCCTTGGCTGACAATACCCAGAAGGAAAGCCTCTGGTTTCTTGGTA